GGCGATCACTAGAAAATTGACCAATTACGAGGTCAATTCATATTTTGAGACATTATATTTAAATCAAAATAAGTCAAAGGTTTCATATCTTGTGCAACAACTCAGACATAAAATTTTTCACAAAAGTAGTCATCATTTCTCAAGTCTAAAGCAATGGATAACTTCGTTTGATAATGTAGATCTCACATTTATTTTTTGAATTATGATCCATTTGTTTTACAAGGTTTTGAATGAGTTTCTGCCTTAGATTTGTGAAGTTCTTTTTTTTTTTTTGTTTTTTCTAGAATAAATTTATAAATGTAAACATTATATTTGTTATTTGAATTTCAGTCTTTTGAAATTTGAGTAATTCATAAATAACAAAATAATCTGGTGACAAAAAAAAAAATTCTCTATTTTTTATCTCTATATCTTATTTGTAAAAAATTTAATAGCGAGTCAACACAAGATAGGTGTTTAGTCAACACCTAAGTATTTTCCACCTAAGTATTTTCCATACAAGTACCTGTATCGCATCATCCGTAAAGGTTTAATTATCCCATAAAAAACTGAGGTTTTAATTCATCAGGGATGAATAATAGAGAGAAAAGAGAACATATTTAATTTAATGTTATATTAATTATGTCATATTTGGTCTTTTATATTTTTAGAAGTTTTTTTTAAGGTTCCTATTTAGCAAAAGCTTATCAAATATCAATTTTATATTACCATGTAATCATAGATGATTACATGGTAACATAAACGTAATGTGACAAATTAAATAATGATGTGATAACATGACATTTTGTTCCAATGTAATTGCAAGAGTTTGACCGAGTCGAAAACCAAACTTAAAAACTATATATAAATTAAACTCATTTCAACTTAAAAATTTTAATATAAGGTACAAATTTAGTCAATTCCAGCACAATTCAATAGATAAGACGCTCATTATTTTTCTTAGAATTGAAAACTCGATTCTCCACTCCCACGTTCGCTCAACTCAAAAAAAGAAAAAAAAAGAAGGTAGATAACTTTACATAGATAAGTTTACATCTGATCTGAAAACGAAGTAGAGCTAGTTGGAACTTCTCAAATTTTCTTTCTTCAAACCCTAACTAATTAAATTACCATTTTATCACATGGTGTGTTGTTTAACCCGAAAGAAAACCTTTCACTAAACTCTTTGGCCAAAGGCTTTCTTGTCTTGATGATTACATGTGATTTTGACCTTAAAATTGGAGTCAGATCCCTACTTTAAGGCAGTCCAAAAAATTAAACACAACACACAAAATTAAATGTGCTGTCCCAATTTCTTAAGCTTAAGCTTACAGCAAAAGGAATGACTTTAATACATACTTAATTACCCATTTGGCAATTTTTTACTTTTATGTTTTTCTTATACATTTTTATTGGATTTTTTTTTATATATATATGCACTTTTTAACAAGAATGTAAAATATTGGTTTAAACTCTTTTAGTCCCTAAACTTTTAAATTCTCTAAATTTTGTATAAAAACTTATATTAATGTACATTAATAAATGGCCAAATGTATTCTTATACATGAAATGATTCATTACCATATATTTCTAAAAAAATGCAATTTTTTGGGAGACCATGAAAATTTTAAAAGAGGTTTAAACAATCCAAAATATAAATAATGTAAGACACTAAGATGATCGAGTATTGGAAAATGGAAATACTAAAATTTTATATATATGTAAATTTAAAAAGGCCACATCATGGCCTAAGCACAATTGGCCTAACATACCCAATAAAAAAGGATTCCCTCTCTCTAAAGCACTTATCAAATGTTTGAAATATCCTAGACTCCTGCTCTCAATTGTCTTTCTAATTAAACTTTTTTTAAGTAAGATCTTCCATTAGTTTTCATTCTAATAAAAAAAGAAAAAGAAAAAAAAAGAAAGACAATTGAGAGTAGGAGTCTTGGACGATTTTGTGAGTGTTGGTAAAGATTTTTTTTTTCTTTTTTTTTATTGAGTTCAAGATGAGAATCGTATCATCAATTTTAGAGATGGTAATAAGTGTATTGTCGACTACGTTTCAATTAACATAAAAAAATGTTATTAAAACCATAACGAGTGAAACTATGTAAAAGCGGATTCACCTAAATATATCTTTTATCCTTTCATTTCTTTTTATTTCTTTTTAGTAATGAGTTTTTAAGTTGAATAGGATTAGTTGGGTTCAATAATTAGATAGGGCACATTAAAAATTGTTCTTGTCCAATCACAATTGCATTATTTAATTTTAGCACATAATTGAGTGTACGAACTTGATTGAAACTTTTTATGATGTATAAAAGTTGAATCTTTTAGGAATTAAGATTAAAAATGAAAAAACATAAGTCAAAGCGAGCTTAGCTCAGTGATAATTGACATAAGTTCGATCCTCCACTCCTACATGTTGTGCTAAAAAAATGAAAGACCATAAATCATATACGGTTAAATTATGATTTTTATCCATATTTTTAATTTTTTTCTTTTTGAGAAAACAATCCTTATTTTTTTAGGTTAAATTTCTAAAAAAAAAAATATCGTAAGTATTATTTAAAGTATAAAGGACAATAATAAAACTTCTAACTAAATTTTTTTAACATTGTTTTAATATTACCTCTTGCATGAGGGTAAAAATTCAAATTAAGTACCCTTCGTTGAATTAACAGATAGAGATTATTTATCCCTCATCAAGCTCGTGAATGACATTAGACGCATTCTTCTTTCTCCTTTCTTTACTGTGAGCTTTGTATTATTAACCGGTCGATTGAATAAAGAGAGGAAGCAATCTTGAAACATATTAGAGTAGGTTCATGTTAGGTATTAAAAATATAGATAATATATAATTATCAAATATTTGGCCTAAATTTAAAAGAATTTATTTCTTAGATTCAAACATATATGTATTTATATATTTCTTTTATTTCCTTTCTTTTACGTCATTTGTACTAAAAGGAACAAAAAACAATATAATTTTCGTTGGGTCAAAGGTCAACCATATTATAAAGCTCCGTGAAAGCGTATTAGTGCTTCCTTCTATTTAAATATTCAGAACTTATAACATATTATATTATACAATTTCATGCTATAATGATATCTAGTTTTTAATTCTTTTCCAAACATGACTTCTTTTTGGTATTTTACACACATGATTATTGAATCATAAAAAAAGAAAATGTTATGAAATATCTCGTTTTCTATTTTTTTTTCATCTAAATTGTTCATTAGTTATTTTTTTAAACATTAAAAATTAAATAAACAATCGAATTGATATGATGTCTTATTAATCTTTCACATGTATTATAATTTTTTATCAAGAAATTGACCAAGTTTGCAAACCTCGACTCGGATGAAGGATGACCCGTCGGATGAGCTGGAGATGTGTCGAACACAAGACTTGCAAAATAGAAGACACTTCGATTCGAAAGTCAGTAGATGACCAAACTATATTCGAGAGAGAATATAATATTCGCGTACTTGAAAATGAGGCAAATGAGTTCTATTTATGGGCGAAATATCTGATAGTGCCTCCGACAAGACCTCAACGGCTTTTTATGGTAAGCGTGAATCGCGACGTAATGTCATGGAGTTTGTTGGAAACTGAGGTTGAGCCGAAGATAAGCGAATCGGTTCAACCAAAGAATGTGAACAAAACTTAAAGAAGTTTGGTCGACTCGGTTGTGTAGGCGTCAGCTCGGTCATAGAAGATAGCACCAAAGTAATGAAAGTTTGGCCTTATCAATTAATGTCACTATTTTTGTCATCCTATCGGATGCGTGACGGGATGCATGTATCACGTGTGAAGCTGAAAATCACATCAACAATGATATATATCCACAATATATTTACATAATTATTGAAAACTGGTCATTAAATAGATCTAAACAACTTTTAAAAGCTATAAAGTAAAATTTATTATTTTTAATATATAAATTAGCTGCTATATACCAAGAATCATATATATATTCCACTTCTCATAAAATTTCCTTCACATGGGTTGTTTTTAAATAATAAGTACATCCATTTTGTAGTGATAGCCTGATAGATCTTATAAGGAAATTGGACAAAAATATAAAGGTCCCATTTTATTGATATTATTCACAAATAAAGTTGAAAAAAAAGGACATTAACAGATATTCCTAAACGATAATAGAAAAGATTTCATTAGAAAAAAAAATCTACCACTCTCTGAATAAATGATTAAATCTTTTCTACAATTTTTCCAAAAATATTTTCATCGATATTTCTAAAAATTGATAACTCTACGATTGGAGGCTATTTATCACATGTCACGTGTCACCGTCAAATACGATCTTTTACATAATAGTTAGAAGAATCAATCACATTTATGTTCAAGTCTTGGAAGCTCAGAAAGTGGAAGACGAACCAAGCTACATTTTATCCTCCGGTTGATCTTCATCAGGTACGAGTCGACTTTAAAGAGTACTTGCAGGCACGAAGACAACTAAGACGTTCTCCGACAACAAGCCGCATTTTTCGACCTATCGGAAAATCATTTGAGCGCTATCAAAAGCCCTGTCGAGAGCTATCACTATAAATAAATACTCTCACCTCCCCGCAAGTTATGCGAAGTAATTTCTCGTTAGAGGATTAAAGAGAATTAGGTACTAATAAGAATGTCGAAGCGCTCACCTTACGTTGCAGGTACTTCGGACTTCGATACTTTATATTCAAACTTCAAGAATCAGAACTTGGTCGATTTTACGATGAAACATCCACATTTTTCATCCTATCTAAAACCTTACTTCTTACTTTCTCAACCCAAATAGGAAATCCAGCTATTTACCATTTCTTAGTCTAAGCTCGAATTCAAAAGCAAAAATGTATCAAAACGGTAGAAACGAAAGGTTTTTGGTTTTTTTTTTTTTCCTTTCTTTTTGGTCTGAATTCGATTGGACGGCCGGTCTGAAAAGTGCCGTTGTCGAGCCGGAGCCAGATGGGGGCCATCGGGAAGGTAAGAAGAAATAAATGAATGGCCTTATTTCCTCCTTCTCTTCCTCATTCTCCTCTATTTATAGCTTCCACAGCCCTCAAGCTCCACGCCACGCCATTCGATTCCTTCCCACTTCTCAACACTACCCATTTCCTCTTCTTCCCTCTCGGAGCCGCTGATTTCTGTCGTTTTCGGGTAAAAAACCCAGCTCCCAACTCGATTCTCTGTGTTCCTATGGCTTCCTTGGAATGCTTTTGCTGTTAATTGTTGGAATTTTTGCTGTTTTCCTTCAGATTTAGGGTTTTGATCATCTGGGTTGTTCTCAATTTCTTGTTATTTTTATTGGGAATGTTGTTTTTAGCTTGATTTCTCTCTTTTTTTCGACATGCGTTGTGAAATTTTCATACCCTTATGACGATTTTCCATGGCGGTGCAGAATGGGGAGCGCAGGGGAAACCAACTATGGCTCCTACACCTATCAGGAGCTTGAAAGAGAGCCGTACTGGCCATCGGAGAAGCTGAGAATCTCCATCACTGGCGCCGGCGGCTTCATCGCCTCCCACATTGCGCGGCGTTTGAAGAGCGAGGGCCATTACGTCATCGCTTCTGACTGGAAGAAGAATGAACACATGACAGAGGATATGTTCTGTGATGAATTCCATCTTGTTGATCTCAGAGTGATGGATAATTGCTTGAAGGTCACTGAAAAAGTTGACCATGTCTTCAACCTGGCTGCTGATATGGGTGGCATGGGCTTCATCCAGTCCAACCACTCTGTTATTATGTATAACAACACCATGATCAGCTTCAACATGCTTGAAGCTGCAAGAATCAATGGGGTCAAGAGGTTAGTTTTTCAAGGAAAATTTCCCCTATTCATGCTTTAGATATATACTTTAAATCTTTATTGGTACAGACCTGGTAATCACCATCTAACACAAGATTATAATTTTTTATATCCGGGTGAATGCAGGTTTTTCTATGCGTCTAGTGCTTGTATCTACCCTGAATTTAAGCAACTGGAAACTAATGTGAGCTTGAAGGAAGCAGATGCCTGGCCTGCTGAGGTTCATATTTTCTCCTGTTTTAATGATTAGGAGACGAAACAATTGTAAGATATGTGCTTATTGAGACTGTGTTAATGTTTGTTTCATAGCCTCAAGATGCTTATGGCTTAGAGAAGCTTGCTACAGAGGAGTTGTGCAAGCATTATACTAAGGATTTCGGTATTGAGTGCCGAATTGGAAGATTCCACAACATTTACGGTCCGTTTGGAACATGGAAAGGTAGATCCGAATGCTAGAATTGACTATGTTTAAAAAAATTGAAGTTATCTTTAGTCAATTTATTTGAAAAGATCTCTAATCCTAGCCATTTGATTCATATAGGTGGAAGGGAAAAGGCTCCTGCTGCATTTTGCAGAAAGGCCATCACTTCTGTTGACAAGTTTGAGATGTGGGGAGATGGTCTTCAGACCAGATCTTTCACCTTCATTGATGAATGTGTAGAAGGTGTCCTTAGGTAAGCAAAAGCCCAATTGCTCTAATTTTCATCATCCATGGTTCCATGGTTAGAATTTGTAGTTTCTTGGATTAGATATAATCTTAATCACACTCCAACGTCGTGCGCGAGATTAGTTGGGGTGGGCCATGAACACACCTCCAATACTCGAGTTTTGGCTTATTCATTGCGGTTTCCATTTCAGCTCCGTGTTAACTGAATTAGGTTGAGTTAAAATGGAAAATAATTGGTTTATTGTAAACTGCTTCTGGGTTGTCAACTTCTTGATTCATGAATTCAGATGATTCAAGATTTGATATAATCTTAATCACACTCCAACTTCTTGATTCATGGATTTGATATAATCTTAATCAAACTTCTGTTTGCAGATTGACAAAGTCAGACTTTCGCGAGCCAGTGAACATTGGAAGTGATGAGATGGTTAGCATGAACGAAATGGCCGAAATCGTTCTTAGCTTCGACAACAAAAAGCTCCCAATTCAGCATATCCCAGGTCCTGAGGGTGTCCGTGGTCGTAACTCCGACAACACGCTCATTAAAGAGAAACTTGGGTGGGCTCCTACAATGAAGTTGAAGGTAAATTTAGTTAAAGCAGCCATTTCTTTTCACCTCGACGTTCAAAACTTTCGTCTCCTCCGCTTTCCTGTGACCCTCTTGCTCATCAGTTGTCGCATATTGTGTTCTACCTGTGTAGGATGGTTTGAGAATTACCTACTTCTGGATCAAGGAGCAGATTGAAAAAGAGAAGACTCAAGGCATTGACCTATCAGTTTATGGATCATCCAAGGTTGTTGGTACCCAAGCCCCAGTTCAACTTGGGTCACTCCGTGCTGCTGACGGTAAAGAGTAATTCGTCAAGACCCGGATAACCTAGTCGGGCTATATCGGTGCAACCCGAGCTTTACTAGATGTTTTCTTCTAAGTTGTTATCACTACCTACTACACTCTGTAGTATTTTGTTGTGCTACTGGATGCTTTTATTATGCCTTATATGCTGTATTCAGTTTTTATATGCCCTTTCTTTCAACCAATCCTGTTTCCTTAGAAGGAAATATTGTGGTTTTTTTAGCAGGTTCTTATGTCCTTGTCTTCTTTGTAATAATTTCCAATGTAATTTTTTGATAATGCCAGTTTTTTTCATTGTTAATTATGGTGTCCCATCTTGTTGGTTGGTCTCTCAAAATCTGCTTCATTTTGTATAAGTGTGGTAACTAAACAGAGGCCTTAACTTTTAAGTTTTGTCGAATAAATGTGCACGAGCTATATTCACGCTAGCACGATAAATAGTACGCTTGAGTTAATTGAGCTATATTCACGTTATTACATTAAATAATGTGCCTTTGGGCATAGTTCGATTTAATTGATTCTTACTGTATAGTCACGTCACTCAAATCTCACCGTTTGTCTTTGTCATTGCTACAGAGAATACATGATATGTTTTTTTTTTCTTAGTTTATGTGGCAATGATTAATGTTTTCAATTTATCTGATTGTGCTAGTTGTTGTAATGTTTTCTATTTGTTTGATTGCGTGAAAATAATTTAAGGACGATTTACGAGGTTTAACAAAATCACATGGATAATAATCAAAAAGTTCAAAACAACAGGGACAAAATTGAATTTAAGCTCAAGCCATAAATTTATAATTTAGTAGTCTTCTTGTTACACTAAATATTAGCAAATTCCACTTAGAAGAAGATGAATACTAATAAATATTAAGATTTTGAAATGAAAAAATAACTTCAATTATAGGTTATACATGAAAATTAATTATGACGAACTAAAGAAAGAACTCAATCTTCAGTTTGAGCATACTTCAATGGTTAGAGCGGTTTCTTTCTTTTTAGGTTGAAAGTTCAATCCTAACATATTTGTTGACATTAAAAAGAAAGAAAAAAAAGATTTAACATATTTAATATGATTCTTTTAATAATGATTTCGTTTTTAGTTTTCAGCGGATTGTTTGTTTGCTCATAATTTTTTTTAGTATAATTTCACATTTTAAATTAGCAAGTTTGAATTCCAAACCAAATTTCAAACACAAACAACGTTTTAAAAACTATGTGTATACTTTTAATTTGACTTAAATTATGAAAACATTTTTTTTTGTATAACAAATGTTGGGATGTGGGGTTGAACCTTGAACATTTAAGCAAGGAGCAAGATGCCTCCGACCTCTAAAAAACGTTTTTAAAAAGTAGATAACAAAACAAAGAAACACATGGGTGCGAAAATAAAAACAAAAAATAAAAAGAAAATAGTTATCCAAGGAGACCAAGATTTTTGTTCTAATAGATGGTAAATTGGTTTAACTCACTCAAACCTCGCAAATCTTTTGAATGACATTAAAAAAAACCACCCCTCGGGTTTTAACAATCACATTCGTAAACTTTTAGTTTAATCAATTACGTCAAAACGGGTAGAATGCACAAACCATCCTTTAAAAGTATAAAGACCAGTACAATAAAACTTTGGAATTACAAGAATTTTAATTCTATAATTATTATTGAAACATATTAACTATGAAATAATTGCTTAAAAATTTTAAATTAAAGAGATAGTTACCTTTGCCCCAGTTTGTATGTTCTTAGATCTGAAGAATCTTTAGATCTAGAAATAATTCCATACCTGGTGAGGGATGGGGGAAATGCAAAAAAGAGATTTGGAAATATCACAAATAGAGAATGGCGGGTCCGGGGTTGGGGTCGGGGCCCCGAGGACGACGTGGGGGCCGATGAGTATGGACTGGAATGAAATGTTTTTTAAATCTCGAGAATAAAAGTGTAAGATTCTAAAACGAGACCAAATAAAAACCTATTTCAAACTTCAGGTATAAAAAAAGTATCAATTCCTTTGACTATATTTGAAATGTGTTATATTATTTAAAAAATTGCTATTTATCTAGCTAGTAGATCAACCAATTTGAGCATAGTTTCGTAAATTCGAGAGACGATCAATCAAATTTAAAGTTTGACTCATAATGATTTTTACAATGCTTTCTTCAACTTAGAAAGTGGCAACTTAAGATCTTCTTTTAGTGCAACATAATAGTTTAAACAGTAAAAATCAAAGTTGTATATTTGTAAGTACAGAAACACAAGGAACAAACGTAAAAGTTTAGAGACTACGAGGACTGAAACAAGATTAAAATATTTTTCTATACGACGAATCAACACGAGATTGAACGTACGTGTGTCGGGAAATTATTTAAAAGGGGGTGAGTGGTTCAATATTTGATTGAAGCCATCACAATCAAAGAAAACTGGCATGGTTTAAGAAGTGAAAGAGAAATCAGTTGGTGACAAATGAGGCCACTTTTCCATCTGCTGCAGCTTTTGCTTGTGGCCCTTGTAAGGTTTGTACATTCCATAATTCACACCACAAAATCATGCCTCTAACTCTATTTTTTTTTTCTCCCTTTCTCTTTTTGTCCACTTTCGCGCAAATGACGGAAAACCCGATGTCGAACGGAAATTAACTCGGCTCCTAGGGTTGGATGGGATAACCATTTCGTTTTTACCTTTCGTCTCTAAAATTTGGCTTACATTTTGAAAACGTTTTTAAAAAGTTGATAATAGGACGAATGCATGGGTGAAAGCAGTGGTTTTAAGCTTAATTTTCAAAAGCATAAAACTCAAAACAAAATGATTATCGAGACTTAAAAATTAAGTTTTTTTTAACACTGGACTTCATCCCATGCGAACGTACATCTCTGTTATGCGTGTGCGTGAATTAGAAGGAGATGTACATTTGTCGAAGATTTGCATGGGAATGAAGTTAGTGTTGGGTTAAAAAAAAAAACAATTTTTAAGAATCAGGTTAATTTCTATTGAACCTCTAATATTTCGCTTTGTGCAGAAAAACCAAAATATATTTGATATCGATCTAGTTCAATAGATAAAATACCAATGATCTTTTTTGAGATTGAAGGTCCAACCATCGACCTCTACAATGATAATGCATATCTCATCTACTAAATTATATTCGAATTGACTAATGATTTTCTAGTGGTATATTATATATTATTTTGTCCTTTTTAAAAATTTTCACTAAGAAATTACAGTTCACTAAAACTATTTTATGTGACCAACCCACTAAATTATTAGTGACTTTATAGCTCTAAACATTTGGATTCTTGGAGAAATTGTTGGGAATTTGTCCCTTATAATAATTATTTCTCAAAAGTTAAATATACCCATGTGAACAACAAATAAAGAGTTGGATTTATGTGGCATTTATTTGATCTGAAGTTATCATTTTTTCACCCAAATTATTTGGACAAAGCAACATAATTTTTTTTTTTTGGAGAAATGTCTAAGTAGGGAGAGATTAAAAGCTGTATGTATGTATGTGTATATATATGTGTGTGTATATGTATGTATGTAGATATGTATGTATCTGTATATGTACATGTATATGTATATATTTGGTTAAAAAACACTTTTAGTCCCTGTACTTTTGCTAAAGTAACAATTTAGACCATGAATTTTAGTTTGTAACAATTTAGTCCATGTACTTTTAAATCGGTAACAATTTAGTCTTTGAACTTTAATATGCAACAATTTAGTCCTTGTAATTTAAAGTTGGTAACTATTTAGTCCTTATTGTGAAATTTTTTTTGTTAAGTTTCTTGTATTTATAGATTGATAAACTGACTAAATATGTTTGTGAATTAGAAAAATTAAATTGTTTGATAAAATTTGACAGTTAATTTTAATAAAAACTTTTACGATAGGGACTAAATTGTTACAAATTTTAAACTATAAGGACTAAATTTGAGGGACTAAATTGTTACTTTAGGAAAAGTACAGGGACTAAATCGTTACAAACTAAAGTTTAGGGACTAAATTGTTACTTTAGTAAAAGTAAAGGAACCAAATGTATTTTTTAACCTATATTTTTTTATAACAATATTTTAAGTGAAAGAGAGCTGTTGGAGGAGATTTCATATTGAATGAGACTTAATTACCTTTTTTTTTGTGTTTTATTAAAATAAATAAATTGATACACTAAATATAGATCTTTAAATTTCAAATTGAATAGGGATGAAATAGCAAAAATTCATTAACACTTGGTACATTTTGTCCTTTGAAAAGTGACATGTTTTTATCTTGTTTTGAAATTAATAGAAATACTGATGTGACAAAAGATAATACTTTGCATGTCTATTACATAATGTTGGGTATGTCCTCTCTTATATAAAATAATGGTACATTTTGCATGTGTTAATGTTTTTCGGTTGGATATTCGGGTCTTCCCCTCTTATCCTAAAAAAAAAAAATCTTAAAATAACAGTAACATAAAGAAATCTATTTGATTAGATCGAAAAAATCTTATTCTTTCAAAACCGAAATATCTACCTCTAGCGTCTAGCAACATTTATAAAAAGTAGAAAACAAATTAGAGAAATATACAAAATCGATGACTAAAATATGATTTCTTTTTTATTGAGAATTTGAACCTTTAATCTTTTACCTCGACCATATTTTTAGTTCAATAAAATTATCGAAGTGGGAATCTAACCAACCATCTTTGAAATGACGTGTCTTACCTAAAGTAGAATTTATCGATTAAACTATTCTAAGGTTGATAATCAACAATAGAATTCAAACATGAAATCGACTCGAGATTGTGAACGAAATTAGTTGGAGAGAGAAAAAATAAGTGGCCAAAGTTTGGAGATGGAGAATAGCCATAGCCCATAGATAGTAGTGTGAGGTGTTTCATCAAGAGAGGAGACGACCCTCACAAAATAAAAGCTGCAAATTATGATACGTGGACTTCTAAAGCTCTTAAATAAAGTTAATGATATGATATTTTGACTACATATTACGTGGCAATTTGAGGTATGCAATCTACTCCAACTTATCTCGTATGATCTAATCTAGTTCTAATTTAAACATCGGAGAATCTTTGGCTAATACATCATTGATGTCTACTTTCTTGTTTAGGGATATTCCTGCAAGAACCTGTTGGACCAACATGTTTATTGTTAGCTACGATCATACTCCAGAACGGAAAAATCAATAGTGTATTAAAAATGATGTGGGGTCAATTTCTTCTATTTATTGTGTAAATGAGAGAGAGTACGGTATTCCACCAAAAAATTTTCTCCTCCAAAATGACCCGGTAGAATAATATCATCCACCTTTAATTTGGTGTATTTTCTTTTAAGTTTAATGATTTAGACCGATATTAGGTAGGTGGATATTAAGTAATCATCAAAATGGTTAACTTCTAACATTTGGTTTATGATATACACTTTGAAATTTCAAAGATTAAAATGATGATCTTTTAAAGATGGACTAAAGTATATATATATTAAAATTTTATGCACTAAAATTAAGAAAAAAACCTAAAAGTTCATGAATAAAAGAAAAATTTAGAACTTCTCTTTTCGAAGATAAAAAGAGTATTTCAATTCAAATAACATTTAAAGAAAGTTATTAATAAATTATTCGGTGGAGCTATGCTTTAAGTCCATAGATTTGTATGAAGTTTTTTTTAACTATTATTTTATTATTTTTAAAATATATATAAAAGTTATTTTAGTCATTATCATTAATTTTAATAGAAAAGTAAGTAAAACTTAATACAAGCCCATCTTTTCCATTTTATTAGATCAACATAGCTCAAATATTAATGCATTGGTAAATTGATAACTCTTGTTTAACTGAATGTTGGAATCTCAACTCTACTCAGTGCTATTTTTTTCAAAAAATGAAAGAAAGTGTGAAGTGGTTCACATGTATCCGATCATGTGTCAAGTTTTTAAGGTTACAAAATAATTAACAATAAATTGATGATAATGACTAAAATAATTTTTAACTTAAAATTTTATAAATTAAAACAAAATATTTTAAACATTGAGCGACTAAAACAAAATATTTCAAAACTTATTAATCACACCAAAATAAGTAAATAACCTAAAAACTTCATAGAGCAAAGGGGGAACTAAAACCAAAATTTATAAATTCTCTATTGTTACTTTTTTCATTTCTGCCTCTAATCTTTCAAAATTTTAAATCTTATTGTTTTATGTATTATATATTTTTCGATCAATTCTCAACGTAAAAAAAAAAAAAAAAATAATATTTCTTATAGCAACAACACAAAACATATATACATTAAGAAGATATTGTAAAGGAACTAATGAGCTCTAAAATTTATAAGTATTTAGGAGTTCATATGACAATTTTTACTTTCCAAAAGGAATTTAATAAGTTGAAATACTATATTTGGAGATTTCTTTAATACATATTTGATAGGCCTTGAAATGTTTGAATCAAGAAAAAAGAAAAAAAAAAATACAACGGACCCAATATAGAAGAAAAATCCGAAGAAAAAATATATATTTAAATTAAAGTACAATCAGAAGATGATTCAATTAAAGATAGCATTACACACCATCAACTTGTCACATTCTCTTTAAACATTGACATAAAAAGTAAATCCTACAATATCGCAAAAAAGAAAAATAACAATTAGTATTAATAATTTATAACTTATAACTTATTTGAAATTATTTTGTTAATTTAAATATTTGTCTTGAATTTTCTTTTATTTTATAATTTTGCTAGAAATATTAATGAGCATAGAAGTTGAGTTTGTATAACTTGAAGTTCACAAGTGAGCAAATTTCTTTACTTTAGGCTAAGTATTCACTAATCTACATATACTCGTGATGATAGAAATTTATACCCACATCTTTTAATCGAGGATATATGTCCTAACCAACAATGCTCAGATTGACATATACATTCACTTCTTAAATACATACATTTTAACATAACTCTTCATCATCAGAACACATTGTTCTGCTACACAAACTTATATTTATTATAAATGTGAGCCAAATATTCCATTTAAAAAGTAATTTGAGGGCTTACTTGAAAATACCTAACAAAAAGGGGTAATTTTGACAACATTATAATAAGGGGTAATATGATATTTTTCAACAAAATGATGCATAGGTTTCAACTCTTGAGAAATAGGAATCTTAGCAAATCTTAAAATTTTTTGTATCTACAACTGAAAGACAACTTACCAATGGCTATCTAAGTTGTATATAGAGATTTTTCAATCCAGTAACGATTTAATTCTTCATTTGTAATGTACTTTAGTCCCTAAACTTTAGTATGTAACAATTTAGGCATTGTAGTTTAAAATTTGTGACGATCTAGTTCATATAAAAAAAGTGAAGGTCTAATGAGATTTCTTTTACATGTAGAGATCGATAAAATGATGAAGGACCAAATGTATTTATAGACTACACAGTCTAAATTGTTGCCTAATAAAAATCGACATTAAGTTTCATGAGACTTTTCACAACAAGGACTAAATTGTTGTCGATTTAAAATTACAAAAGTCATTAGTTTAAGGAATAAATCGTTACTTAAGTAACAGGTATATGGATTACTAAAAATTTTGTTGGGACCAAAATATGCGATGGATTGAAGCATCTGGAAGGGTGGTTGGAGAGGCTACCTATTGATTATGAGCATTTTAATACCAGTGGAAGTCTTTTCTAACTACTCTATGATATTAGAATTCAAATGGAAATCTAATTCTTAGAGTAACAAGGATGTGACCAAACAAAAGAAGATAGATTTCCAAAATGGACTGGAAGATGAGGGTAAAGATTTTGATTTATATAATGCTATATCTATGGTAAGAATGTGCACTTTTAGCTGAGATTATAAAAAGAAAGCAAGACATTTAAGTTAGAAAAAACAGTTGAGAAAAGATCAAGAATTCATGCAAAAGAAGTATGCATTTTACTAATCATCATTTTTTAATCCTACCAGACAAAAATGTACAGAAAAAAAACATCCAATTTTCATCTGAGTGATGAATTTTTATACTTCTGATTATGTATGACATGGTATAAAACCTGTTGGCCACTTCAAGGGCCTCCGAAATCAGTATGGTATAATGAAAATGAACATGTTTTTTTAAGAACAACATGCTAGCTCCAGTTTGATATTATAATTATCTTCCTCTTAAAAGCTCGTACCTGATCATGTGAGGACGATGATCATAGGAACGACTGACTCTGTAAGTGACGACGAGAGTGCTTCAGATATTACATTGCTGCTCTGCTCATTTGGGGCTAAAATCATAATAAACAGGACTGGCTTCAAGCTGCTCAAAAAATGTCCCCAAAATCTCCTTCACAAGTTTTTCAAATTGATTTTTGTCGGATATCGAACCGCAGTTCTCATTTGCTGTATCGGCAAATACTGCATCATAGAGAAGAACCACGGCTTCATTGGCTTCTGTAGGTGGCAAGCCTAATTCCTTCCATTCTTTTTCGAAGTAATTCCTGATCTTTTGCAAAGTTGTTATCCCATCCTCTGCTTTGTGGGTCTCCTGCCACAGCTTTTCTATGACATTGTTGAAGTGCTTCTCATCGGCCAAAAGCTGCAACTCATATCAGGAGTTACAATGTTTTCAAAATTACTCATAGTTCCCAAGTAAAACTTGAAGTCAAGTCAGGCTAACAGAGAGCATTCAAATAACTATATGCAAGAGCAAACTAGATGATAACTTTATTAATCTTTAAATACCTTAAAAAAAAAAAAAACTACCACACCTTGTATATATTAATTCAGTTTACAATATGCGATTAAAAACTTCTTTGGCAGATCACTTCAGTAACCTAGCTCTCACTACTGCAGTCGATAACTTCAATTTTACATGGCATTAAGTGCAGTAGACAGTGATCTTATAATTGTAAGTAACACACACAGTGCAGAGTTTAAGAAAAAAGAAAAAGCACAGGTCGGGGCTTTCCCATTTACTCTGTGCTTTTGACAGTTTCAAGTCCTACAATTTTTATCAGTGATAGCAAATGATCTCTAGAATTTCTGAAAAGAATAATTCAGTTGAGTTAATGGGTTACATCCCTTAAAATGAATTCAGAATCTGATTGGGTCGAACCCTTGTTGGGCAGAAGATATAGGATGCAGATAAGCCAGGGCAGTAAAACTATTCAAGAAGATATGCTAAATACCAGTACCATGATGATTTACTAGACTTCCAATTCCCAAAGTCAATGAAAAGATATCATTGAAAGATATGTTCAATGAAGAAAACGAGTGCCACCATGATTTACCTTTTTTATCTGAGCTCCATTAGCAATCTTGAGATTTTGAATGAAAACATAAGGCTTTTTTGCTAGAGCATCTGCTAATTCTTGAAGAACAGGCTGAAGAACTTCTGCAAATTGAGCTTGTCCCAATTCTTTATTGCTCTTGACATCATGTTTTTGTAAAATGTCGCTCAGCAAAGGATATTCTGTTTCATCACCAGATATGTTAGAGAAGTTTGTTGCTAGCACACACATGTAATCACTTTAAACGTGCTTTTTACTTATATATATATATATATATATTATATATATATAGGAAACGAGACTTGTATATTTTTAAGATAATTAGACAGCTTTTTACTAATCAACTGAAAATAGAATATATGCTCAAAACTATGTAAAGTTCTTAAGTCATAGTAAAGATGAATTGCCTGACAGCCGTTTCCAGCTTAGGAAAATCCGTAGAGAACGTTTAAGAACAAAAACTTCCTAAATTGGGTCTAACTTACATTTCCTCAATGATATTAAGCTATCTTAGAAATTTTCTTGAAACTCTTCACAAGCGAGGGCAGGAGGACCAACTTGCAACTAATTCAGTATAGTAGTGTGTGCAACACCATTCTCATTCTAAAGACATGAACCAAAGTAAAGATGGTATGGTAATTACATGACCAAGAATTAGAAAAGTGAACCTGAGAGAGGAGGTACACCCATTTCAAACCCCATGTGGACAAGAGCATTTTGAATCTCACTCTTCCTGATCTTTCCTTTATCTTCTGTATCTAAATCAGTGAAAAGGTTCTCTGCTATCATTGCAAAATCATCTTCATCATCTAAGAACACACGAAGAGTGTTCCCATCCAAAATTGACACAACAAGAGGATCCTCTGGAAACACAAAAATTTATTTGTAATGAATTTCCCGCAATAATGACAAATGGCAGGACATCAATAGAGAAGTGGATCATATAGAAATAATGATGATCCACGAAATTAAGCTCAATTTCATATGCCAACTACACACCCATACTACAGACTCCGACACGACAATGACACAGAGACAGTGTTATCATAACATTGCAAAGACATGTTTCTAAAATATGTCTGAATTTAACCTACGAAAAAAGTTAAACAAATGCTACAAACAATAGCTACATATTTAGAACTGTACATCTATTTTAATATGTTTGTATTATAATACCAATTGAAGTTACACATTCTTCATACATTTTATTGGATTGTTACATTTCACATGCATTTAAATGTAGTCATATCAGATGATCCCATTATCTTAAACATGGCCGAAATGGTCATATTGTTCAAATGTCTCAAGGGGAATCCTTGGGAATTTATTCACTTTTCAGCTACCGCACACTAGGACGCTATCAATTTCTCCTATATTCAATCCCCTCTTTCACTTAAAGATTTCACACTCGTCCCTTGCCAAGCTGCTATAACCTTCTCTAACATAAACAGAGGGCTTTTTTTCTCTTTCCATAAATTTTCTTAACTCCATGCCTTCCAGCCCCTGCCCTCTCGAACATCTCATAAGTCCATAGCAGAAAGCTAGCGATTTGCAGACTCAAATTATAGCACTTGTGCATAATACCACCTCATGTAACATCCTCAACCTCACCACACAAACATAAAACAAGGTTATCTAGGTAACCCTCAACTTCTCCACCATCAATCTGTACCTAGGTAGAGCTGTTAAGTATCAAAATTAAAACTTTTCAGTGGATTATCTAGTTCACAATTCACATTGGCAATCAACGCCCTCCACATGTTCGTAATCCATTACAACAATCATCAATCGAGCCATTAGTCCACTTTCAACACCCTGTAACAACTTCTCCCTAGGCTAATTTATCATTCGCATGATCTAGAAAGTCAAATTTAAGCACATCTACAGAAACAGAAAACACTCAACCGTACTTTTCGATAATCTGGTAAGAGTCCAGATGATGAAAACATACGAACATTACGCATTTAGACACCATACATAACGCGACATAGCCGCTGGAGATACCTCCTAAGCCGTCAGCGATCGCAGATACATAGCCCCTAAGAATCTCGGAGGCTCGCTCTGGAGTGAGCTCCGATCGTCGGAAAGCAACAATGTCGGGGAGGCCGATGCGACTAAGAGCAGACGATCTGAGAGTCTCCGGCAAGGCGAGTCCGAACAGAGAGGAGGAGGCTTTGGAATCGGCGAGGTGGAGGAGCTGAGCTCCGGTGAGGCCGCCGTCGGGAAACGGCAGAGAGAGGTCAATGTGTTGTAGGTGCGTGCCATCAAGAACCGTTATTGCGGCTTCGGACATTTTTGAGCAGAGGAAGGAAAAATGTCCAGAGAGAGAGAGAGAGAGAAGAGAGATGAAGAGTTACTTGAAATGCGGTTTTGACTCTTTGCTACCTTTGTCTTTGAGAAATTTCACTTTTCCCGATCAAAATATATTGCTTTGCCCAACTCGGACCTAAGAAACTTATATCTGATTAAGAAGTTATGAATTTAAATTCTTTAGCAATAATCATTCTCACTTCTAGTGAGAAATTTGAACTCGTAAATTTTTAATCTGAGATATATATCCATTATTTCTAAGTTGAGTTCATATCGACAATTTTCATCTTAAATTGTTTGTACTAAGGAAAATTATAAATTATAATAAACAATATATATATTGGTTCGGTTCCTTTACTTTTTGCTATTTTAGTAATTACAAAATTTAGGTTACAAATTAAGGTTTTAACATGAATTTATTATCATTTAATTCTTTTAAGTTTTAGTTAGGTTTTTTTTAGTACAAAGATATTACCGCTGAACCAAGTTTATGTTGGCATTTTAGATTGGTTACTCATGGATGAGGCATATATGGATCTTTAGAGTATATTCTTGAATTTTTTTAACGGTAAAAGAAATTTTAATAGAATAACATGTAAGGTGGAAGTTTTTTTTTTTCTTTTTCTTTTTCTGTAAATAGAAATTTCATCAAGAAATGATGGCCACGGGGGCAATAGGAGAGGAGCTTTCCCTTTAGCATTTTGCAGAAGCCAGGGGGAAAATTTATAGTCCAAGATATTGAATTACAAAAATGGAGACCATGATTTGATAAGAGATATGTAGATCGATTGCTCTTTCATTGGACATACATGAATGAGCAAGCTTCGAGTTTTAGGGCCAAAGATTGGATGTCGTGGATCCAAACGCACTTAGCCCCAAGCATTTCCGACTCGGAATGAGACCAATCACTATTTATGTGAACTTCTTGAATTGGCTTCTGCTGATTAACTGATTTCGGTCGTTCCAGATAGTCCAGATTGTGATTGCTACTATTTCCATCTTGGATTTGCCCACAAATTTTTTCCACTACGCCCAATAGTCAAGAAAGGAAGCATTTGGGTTCTGAGGGCAAGAAATGTGCCAAATCTGTCGTGCGAGAGAACAACTCAAGTGCTAGGATTTCAAGTGACTAGGTACGTTTTGTTTTTATTTTTGTTCGTTAGAGGAAATGAGAGGTGCACACACACCTACCTTGTATTAGCGTTTTAAAATTGAGTACTCGACATTTTCATCGACATCGACATTTAAACCCTTGATTTTATCTAATTAAAATTAAAAATAATCAAAATTATACAATTTTGATAGCTAGTTTCCATTTACCCTGGTCATCTTAAAATGTTTTAACTAATTTTTTTAATTGGTTGAAAACAAAACTTCAAATTTTTTATTATGATAAGACTTCTAAAACCTTGGGGAAAGTTGGAAACAAAGTGGGACAAATTTGAAACAAACTAAATTACACAAAAACAATGTACCTATGTAAATATAGTTGGTTGCAATTTTTTATCCTAACAATTTTTCAATATTTCAAATTTTCCCTCGTTCTCTTTACTTGCTATCAATTTTTTTTTTTAAATGAAATATGAGTTGTGTAAATATAATTAGTTATTAAGCTATTGTGACTTAGTTAGAATGTAACTTGTTGATGCAAATTTGGTCTTCGTAGATCTCGCCAAATTCGCACTAATCTTGACTCTTGTCATAGATGCTCCGATGCTTAGTAAGGTAGGGTATGTAGGCGTAGCAAATACGATGGACTTACAGCGTACCACTAGGGTTTGGTTCACCTTCTTATTTATAGAAGTTGAATCCTAATCCTTTTAGGATTCACAGGAGTTGAATCCTAATCTTTTAGGAATTACAAAAGTCGAATCCTGATATATATAGGAAATCTAGAGTCGTGCATGTATGTTTTGTTATGGGCTTAAGGTAAAATTGGGAGTCGAGGCGGGAATGCGTAACGGTTGGGATGAACAGTTATAATTCTCGGTTGGGTTGCCGCGAACTACTCGACCCAACGCCGAGACCTGGTCCGTCGAGGTCGGCCCAGGTCGCCGAGCGCGGCCCTCCTTCCTAGTTCGTGCCTCCTCTCGATTCTTCTCTTGTTTTTTGTCACATCCATTTATTTCCTAATAACATAACTATTCCATTAAAATACAAGTTTTACATTCACATTTTAGCAATATATCTCTATATATATAGCGTATCATATCCTAAGATCAGCACGAACATAACAAATTTCTTCATGTTTGCATTGACATGAATTAATTAATTTTATTGTTTCACAAATGCTTTTATTAATACATCCAGAGACTTTTTTTTTATTTTATGAATTTATATAATTTATGTGATGGTTTTCTGAAGTCTCTCTCTCATAATTCACATGTTATTGTTTTTTCTATGAATTTGAGGATTTGACATTTTCTTCAACATCACTATTTATTTTTTAAAATATACTTATATTTTAATCATACTTTCTTTCTTTCTTTTTACACAATGATTTTTTATTTGAAATTCATGTGCAAGTGATCCACTAAAAAATGGGGGTTAGAAACCATTCACATCTTCTAGAAGCAATGATATTCTTATGGAAAATACCCACCTTTCATCATTTTTGTATTTAAAAATAATAATCTTTCCTTTTTTTTTTTAAATCTATGGTCATTTTCATATAGCAAAGTAAAATAACAATTACATAATATAGAACAATATTTTATATCTTGACCGAATAATATCTTACGAAATAAAAGATGATGAATATCAAAAATCTATTTGTACTCATTTAGCCCTATAAATATTTCCTATTGTTGAATTTTAAAATATCCAGTCTTGAGACTCTTATTTGATAATTTTTTTAATTTTAAAAAATTGTTCTTGTTTTTGTTATCCCCATTTTGAGAATACTTGAGTGGTTTCAAAACAAAAAAATATATTTTGACAACTTTTTATATTTTGGTTTATTACTTTATAAATAGATTTGAAAACAATAATAATAATATAATTTTTAAAAAGTGAAAATTGTACTAAAAAAAGGAAAAAGAAAATAATTTGTCTTTATCACGAATTAATTTACAATTATAATGATTTTGAATTAAACAAAAAAATGAAAGAAAATTGTTTGAAAACACCTCCGAAAATATTTTGTTAGATTGATGAAATTTCCACTAACATAATGGACTTACTTTGTCAAAAGTGAATAAAATCGTGTTATTTATTCACCTACATTTTTCATAAAATAATTTCTTTTTAAAAAAATTCCACCTACTCTCTTATGACTTTTTCAATATGTTAAGGCATTGTGATGATGAGCTTGGTAAAGAAATAAGGAATTTTAGAAAATTTATTTGGTTTCTATTTGTGGGTATATATTTTGGGATTTTTTTTGTTTGTTTTCTATTTTTTGTTTTTCAAAAATAAAAATATTATTCTATCTTTTTTACTTATAAAATGCATTAAGAACTATATATATATATATATATATATATATATATATATATATATATATAACAAATTTGGATATCATATTTAAAAAAATATTTTTTCAAGTAAAATTTTAAATTTAGGAGGAGAAAAAAAATATTTACCAAACATATATATTTTTATATATTTTTTTCTTTCTTTACTAAGAAGTAGAAAATGAGAAATAAAAATAATTAAGAAATACATCAACATAACTATATTACCGGTTTAAATATTATTTTGGTTTTATACTTTCAAAAAACGTTCATTTTGGTCCTGTTATTTTCAAATTTCACCTATTTTTCTCTCTTTACTTTCAAAATATTCATTTTATTTCTTATTTTTGGAATCATAATGTAAAGACGCGACAATATACTAAATAATTTATCGAAATATAGTCATATATCTAGCTTTGTATTAAAAAGTTTCATTGGATACAAAAGTTGTGTTACATCTTCCTAAATAGGTACTGAGTTAGTTTTTAGAATATAGAGAACAAAACGTTTTGTTTTGAAAATGCAGAAACTAAAATGAACAAAATATAAAAAATATATATAGAAACCAAAATAAACAATTTGAAAGTACATAAATTAAAATAAATCAAAATTGAAAAATATAATGACCAAAATAGTATTTAAACCTTTACCTTATAGCTTCGAGTTATACTGAAGGCGACATTTTAAAATAATTAAGTTTAATGTTTATTAAAGAAAGCATGTGACCCCAAATAGTTTTTTCTTTATTATTATTATTTATTTATTATAGAATGAGCCATATGTATAGCCTTTGGAATTCCAATATAATGTTACCAAATTGCCCAAAGGAAAGAATATTTCCATCCAAAGACCAACTGCTTCTTCTTCATTACATTATGTGGTCATCATCTGAAGAGCCAATTTCAGAATTTCAAGAAGCTTTTTGTCTGCTTGACAAAGATGGTGATGGTATGTATGGATCTCCCTTTTTCCGATTTGATTATCGATAAAGATCAAATTCTCCTCCATAATCACTGATCACTCTCACGACCATCTTGTTATTCTCGAATTTTGAATTATGGATAGTTTTACTTATAACACGTTTTATAACTATTTTTCACGAATGCAAAACAAAAAAAAATAGTAATATTGTTCTTTTTCGCTTGGAGTTCAACAACCGGAGAGAAAATCCAACCTCTTGGAGAGGTTAGTAATATCTTGACCAATTCTTTTTAATACAATTGAATAGTACTGTTTTTTTTCTCCTTTTTTTCCTTTCTTAAATTCGACAATTACGCGATGGAAAATCAACCATCAGACATATAACTTTTTTTTTTTTTAAAACAAATAAAAGTTGTAATAATTTTCAACATCCCATTTGAATTTTATATATATAAATCATCCAATCATAAAATTCAAACATTATTTGGGATCGATGATATTATAGGGTGCATAACGATAAAAGAGTTGGGCACAGCGATTAGATCATTAGATCAAAATCCCACTGAATTAGAACTGCAGACCATGATGAATGAAGTCGATGTCAAGGGGAATGGATCCATTGAATTTGGAGAGTTCTTCAATCTCTTGGCAAAAAAGGTGAAGGTAACTATATATTTATATATCATCTTTTGTTATGAACATGTTGATCCCAG